GTGGATAACTTTAACATAACCGCAGTAACTTTACCTAAATTGTCACTCGTTATTCCATGCACAATTACACCGATGCGGGTCTGCATGCTGGAAATTTAAAAAACCAAAAAAATCCTAAAATTCCTACACCATATTAAATGCATCTTGCTTGCAAAGATGTTGCCAGGTTCCTCTGTACTCCATCAAGCAGAAGATATATAAAAAGAGGGAGAGAAAGCAGAAAGGGGAGGGTTTAATTAATGGGCTTGCTGTGATTAATGGTCTCAGTCTGGCTATCACAAACTGGCTGTGTTTTTAATAACTGGTTCCAATGGCCTGTGGTGCAATCAGTATATACTTGTGGTTCAATCACAATGATTATTTATGCATCAGTAATAACAGTGATAATAATGTAAACTTTATGTTTATAACTGGATCTACCTTCGTCTAGACAAATACTATATCTCCAAGGTAACACACACATGCACAGCACCTCTGAGAATAAAGCATCATTATCACATCATAAACCAGTTACCCAATAAAACAGCATGTCGATTCCAAAATAACCTTTGATGGGGTACAATTTAAAAACAGGCACCTATCTCCTTTAAATAAACACCACCAGCACACACAGCCTGGCCTTGTAAACCATCCCTATCCTACTAATTTGATGGTCTGTAATTGCCTCACTTAGAGGTAATATTGCAGCAATAACACGCAAAGAACCAATATGCAAGTGGACAGTAATGCCTTAGTGCCAATATGCTCTGTCCAAACGTAAATAAAAATGAATAGATAATTAAAGTCTTGAGACCAAAGTTGGAATGAGACAGATAAGGCATATGAAATGGTCACAGCAGAGGGAAGGTGAGCTGGCACTGGATGCAAGGTTGATGCTGGGCTCGCCGCAGCAAAGTAAAACACTGATCTTAACTCAGCAAGGCATCTTAATTGCATTCACTTGCAGCTCCAGAGCTGCTTGGTCCCCAGATGGTGGCTGATGTGAACTGACTGGAAGATGAACTTGCTCGGCAGAGAGGAGGCTGGGTGCAGATAAATGTGTACGACAGCGGAGGAGTGCACCTTCGCACATCCTCATGTGTGTGCAAGTACTGTGCACATCTTTATTACATTTTATAACCAATTTTTTTTCCAATGCCATCATTGCAAGGACATTTTATCTGGTCCTCACAACTTCAAAGGGCTGTTGAAAGGTTAAGACTCAGGAATACAATGTGTCAGGTGAGTCTCCTCACAACTACCGTAAGACCTGACTGTGTGTGTGTGAGAGAGATAGAGGACAGGACAAGTAAAGGCCAGTGAGGTGGAAGAAAGTGTTAGAATGATGGTTGACATGAGAAAAGAGGTGCGGAGCCACAGGAGGTGATAGACAGATCCTGATAGATCTGTCTGTGACTTCAATCTCAACTAAAGCTTCCAACACATACAGCGACTTCGCTTGATCTGCTGCTTATTTGTAGGCATGTGCAAAAACGGTACTGCCTTCAGCTTCAACTGCAACGCAGTTACCAACTGTTGTCTCAGTTCAAGTTAAGCTAGGAAAACAACATCAAAACTATCGTTTCACCGGCTGGGAATGGGTAACAGTGGCAATGTTTAAAACATCCTTGGATATGTGGAAATAATAACTTCCTTTTGATATTAATGTGTTTTCCAGTCGTGAGCTGCCTTTAAATGGTGCTCAATCATGATTGCAGTGAGCGAGTCTGTCCCCGCTGAGCTCGGCATTACATTCCCCCAGCTGATATTCATCAGGACAGCCATCGATTTTAATGACTTGGTCAATAGACACACACTGACTCCACTCTCATCATCTCCCTCTCTCTCATGTTCAGTCTCTCTCTGCATCCAGCTTTTCTCCTCTCAGATAAAAACTAGAGATGAGAGAAACAAAGAGAAGGCAATATGAAATGAGAGCGGAGTCGATTGTGTGAAGGAATTTTACAATCAGACCTCGATTTGTTCACTAACACAGGCAGGTATTATGAAAAGCCCTGCTGTGGTTGGAGAAACCAGGCAGGTAGATCAGAGCCTGCTGACTGTATCTCAGTGGGTGATGCGGTTAGAGCTGTCTTCAAGATTCTTTGTGAAACTTCACACACACACAGGCACACAAACATATAGGGATTTACATACACAAACACATTTTATATACTGTAAACAGAAATGCAGATGAATTCTTCGACAGGCACACACGCTCATCGCGAAGCACACAGTTGTTGATATGCCCACTGATGCACAGTGAGGACAAATTGTTCCCTTTGAAGGCGAAGCCAAATCAAACACGGAGTGTGATTTCTGTCACTGCGGTGTTTGGCTTTAAGGCTGTGAGGCTGGCATCTGACAAAACATCCACATAGTCACACCCAAGAAGTTGTGCACACGTGCAAGCAGTCACATTTGTCTATACACACACACACAGAGCAGCCTGTTGTGCACTGGGATTAAGGAGGAAGAGCTCTGTCAGCTCCTTCAAGATCCAGGCCTTAGCCATCAAAAATCCACAGAACCTCTTCTGCACACCAATGCTTACTAGCAACATGTCTGAAAGCTCATGCTTGTTTTCTTTTTTTTAATGGACTGACAGTCATTTAAGAAGTGGCGTTAATATTTAAAACATTTGCCTTCTGAAAAGCCCTGAACATGAAACACCTGACCAGGTTTCGACCACTGTAAAAAAACTGAACAGTATGGCTAAAAAAACCAAACAGTCTATCCAAATAACCACCAGAATAATAGCCACATTCTCCAAGTTAATGTTTAAATGTTCTTGGACTATGCCATTTTAGGATGTCTTTCAGGATGCTAGTTCACAACGATTCACCTGCATGTCAGTTTGTGGCGCCGAGTGAGCTTGTGCACCTTGTTTATTCCCTTTTTTTTGTCTTTTACTCCAGAAACTCTGACAAGGTTCATTCTGTATGAGTCAAGTGGTATCCAGTTCGTGTGTGTGCCAGTTGTATATGAGATTGTTTTATTGCATTTACCAATATACATTTCTTGAGGACAAAAATAAAATGTTTACGAGAAAGCAAGAGAGCAAGAAAACATAGCATGTCTGCCTGTGTGTTCATTTGCTGTCTAGTTTTATGGCTGATGTGGCGAACTCTGCCTTCTCTGCCCTGGGATCAGATGCAGTATGTCACGCTCTCAAACTCACCTCAGCCATTAGAGGGCTGCAGAAACATTGACCTCTAATATGTAGCTGCTTTACCTCCCATTGACTAACTACTGCTGTTTCATTTGTTGTCTCAGCACCAAGCGCCAACAGCGGGGCCGACATATCCGTAACAGAAGCAACACAGAACACAGGTCACAAGAGCTTATCCTCCATATTTTACCGCTACGCCAGTGTGGCAGGACAGTAGGCGCCCTCGCCACATTGATATGTAGAAAGCAAGAACGCAGAGGGAAAGGAAGAAAAGAGACAGACAAAGATAATCAGACAAAGAACCACAGCAGAGGGCAGAGCCTGAGAGGCAGGGCATTCGGGGTGGCATTGTTGGGATTACAGCTGCAAAGTAAGTGTTCTTGTCAGCAGAGAGGTCTGCTGAAGAGACGTCATGGTTGCCAATTTACTGGTGCTCAAGGGTTTACCTATTCCCACTGTCCTTGTGGTGTTACCCCAGTGATGTGCTTACTAATGTCTCTTCACTGCTAAGCAGGGAGAGGGGAAAGAGACAGCTAAAATTGTTGAAGAGATGGCAGATTCAAGTGCCTATATTTGCAGTTTGACCTTCACAGAGGCCTCCACAAGATTTCAAGTGTAAATGATATCTAAAAATCGACACAGGGATGTTTTTCCCTTCTGCCTTTGAAATACAGCAGATGACAAAATGTAACAATACAAAGTGAATATATTACCTTTATCATAACATGAATCATAGCAACAGTATCTCCACCGCTGAACCTGAATGACCCTACAGTCTTCTCTCGCCATGTAAATACTGTAATTCCAATTAAACTCTAGCTTCTTTGGTCTGCCTGATGAAAGTCAGTCAATTTTGACATGTACACATTAAATGAATCTTGACAGTCTATTCAACATGACAGAGGCTAAAACACTCTAATTCAACAGAGGCCGGACCAAGCCGACGAGCCCGTCTAATTATCCCTTTCCAATTCTACCTGCAGTCTCATTTCAATGTATCGCAGGCAGCCCTCAAAATAATTGCCTTTTTGTAATTTACAAGTTCATTTGCACACATTTTATTGATCAAAATGAGTCAGGGAAAAAGAAAACAATCTAAACCTAAATTGAAAGCTTCATTAAATGTGAAAATTGGTCAAGGAATTGCAAACATCTGCTTCTAGCACCCTGCATCATAAACTCCAAGGTTAAAGCGAACGCCTGTTCACGGCTTGCAGACTCAGGAGTTGTGAAGCACCTTTACAAACACTGTCGACAAGGCTTCAAATGATTTTGAGAGAGATTTGAGGGTAGGGGGCTGGAAGCACATCCTGCCTCGTGTTTAGTGGGCCTTGTGAGTATTGCAGCTATGAAAAGATAAACCTGAAACACTTCCAACCAACTTCAGAGCACAACAGTCCAGGTACTGCTGTTGTATAGTCATTTGAGATCATTACAGCAAGTTCTTCTTTTCAAACAATCCGCTATAGGCTGAGCCCTCGACTCTCTGCTGCTTTAGGTGCACCTCTGTTCTCTGCAACCTTGGAGCAGCTTTGAAGTGAATTGGCGGGTTACAAGTTTCCTGCTTTGCTTATGATTGTTAGCATCCGAAACTGGCCTGGAATACAAACGGAAGGAAGAAACCACTGAGTTTCATTCCAGCATGGCCCCATATAAGAGGAGGCCATAAAGAATAGTGAGCTAAAAATACACTGATTTAATACTTAACATCTCCTTCATTTCTAAGCCTGGGCTGCCAGCTGAACAGATCTGCTTTGATTTGAACTTTGAAAACCATGGCAGGTTCCATATCTACTTTTCTAAAAGAAAAAAATCCTCTTGTGCATCAGCTCAGGCTGTCTCTTCTTACCTTTTGGATGTCCTGGGTCACTGAACTCGTACTTCCCCATCCCGACTGTCCGCAGCATTTGCAGCCCATTAGGTCCATCCTGATTGTCTACAGCTGTTGGCCACTGCTGCCTGTCCGTTGGTCAGAGGCAGGGCCGGGGGCTGGATGAGGCCAGGGTGAGAGGTTAAGTGGCCGTTGCCCATCACATTGTGAGGGCTTGGATGAACCACCTGGTTTGCTTGGGCAGTGAGGGCGGAAGGTGTAACTGTGGGCTGAGCGGAGGGATAAGGAGGCTGGCCGGGCATGCTCAGCACCATAGAGGGTGGCTGCTGGGTCGACTGTGGTGTCAGCTGGAAGTGGGCCGTCATGAGTGGGTGCTGCGGGAGCACTGGTGTCTGGATGGATGGGGTTACTCCTATGATGGGTGACTGTGCAGTCACACTGTGGTTGAAGGAGGGTGGCTGGGGTAGGGCATAGGTGTGGGGCAGGAGGCTGGGCTGACTCACCGCTGCTACCGGTGTAGCCCAGGTTGGACCTGATTCACAAACAAACAGAAAGAAGTAGGAAAAGAAAGAGAGAGATCAGTTATACAGTATCTATTATATATCCTCTTTATATACTATAACATCATGGGAAAATCAAGACCAATTTGTGGTATTTTGGTAAACAAGGGCAGAGTGGCAGAGCTGGAAAACCGCACGACAAGACAGATTCCAGTTTGAGTCTGCTCCTCCTCACACAACAATCATCAGTGTGCCGCTCTGCTTCAGTCCAAGTTCGTTCCTGACTTGAGAATTTATATTAAACACAAAATATTTGTGTAGTGATGTACAGATCTGCAACCAAGATCAACATCATGAGATTAAGACATTTATTTTGCAACAAGATTAACAAATGTTTTTCTGACTATGAAAGCAAACAGGATGAGTGCATGCGGCAGTCTGCGCTATTATCTGTGTAGAAGTCTGTGTTTACTCAGACACTCTGAGCCAATCATTTCTCTACCCTGAGGCGTTACATGCTGAGGGTGTGCTGGGAAGACACAGCCATATTGGACCTGAATGCTGCCTCCATCACTTTTTCGCTCTAGCTCCCTCACCTCTAGCTCCTCCCACCGTGATCCAAGCTCCAAAAATAGCCTACAACTCTGCCAAGGGGCCAAAGGCTAAATCACAGCATGCAATAAGCTTTTAAAAAAAAGCCCACATTATTTATAATACTAGCCCTGCTGAGATGGAGGGAAAGTGAGGGATAAAGACAGACGGCGAGAAGAACAGAAGAAAAAGGAGAGGTTGGGACCAGAAGGCTCCAGACGAGAGGCCAGTTCATAATTCACATGTCACTGAGCTAATCGGCACCAATGCTGTATTTCATTTCCCCTGTTTTATAGCTCATCTTGATAAAGGACTCTAATCAAACGGTTTAGCATTATCAGTCTACATCTTAAAGGTTTCAAGGTTGTAATAAAGAATTTGATATATATACATTCTATCTGCCCTCCAACACCATGTTCTTGTCCTTGCCTGCAAAGTTTTAAAAAATGAAGCAAATGCATTAATATGACATGCATTCAGTGGTTGTGATTGCTGTCATGTATCTCACAATTAAGATGTTCAAAAGCGCATTTTTCCCTTTTTAAAATGACATTTATTTTTTATATATTTACTCTGCAGTTTGCTTAAGTCTAAAGCATGGCATCAAAAAAAAAAGCTATTTTTGTACAAAGTTGAAAGAAAACTTCTTCAAAAGACAAACTTTAATAGACACAATCGTCAAGTTTCTGTTGAAAGAAACCGTTGATTAATTCTGGCACAGTTGGAAGAGAACTTTCTGGCAACACAGTTCAGTGAAGTGTGGAGAGGGGCTGGCTTCGTTGCAAACGCCAGTCACAGTTTGGAATAGCGCACACACACGAATCAATATGCAACACTGTGCTCGGATTTGAGTGTCATGTGTGACAGCGTGCTGGGTCGGTGACATCTCACTCTCCTCACGCTTCACTCAAAGCTGTAGTGTTCGGGTGGGAGCAGCTGAGGTGGTGTGGGGAGAGCGGGGGAGTGAAGGCTTGTTCACTTACACACATTAATATGGCCTCCAGAACTTAAAGGCCAATTCAGCCAGAGCCTCAGGAGGCTGGGGCCACAGCGCAGGAGGCAGAAACAGCTCCACACTCTCCTATCATATATCCTTCCACTGTAAGAAGACATTGAACAGTTTCTGCTACAGAAACATGTCTTAATTATTCCACACACCAATCTATATGTAAGATAGGCAAACTATAACTGCTACAATCAGTAGGAACACGTTTCCAGTATGCTGCTTTACTGACACAGACTAGCAGCTGCCTACAATCTGGATTTGTTGAGAATGAATTTCCACTGGAACAAGCTCTGTGCCAGTATTATTCTTAAATGAAACACATTTGTGATGAGCAGGAGGCAGAGGCCAGCAGAGCAATGGAAGGAAATTAACTGCTCTAGGGCAGAGCCATTCTGGGTGAGTTCATTACAATAAGAGTAAAAAACTTCAACGTTGGCTTAACTCGTTAATGTCAGGGCTGCTCGCTGCAGTGCCACAAACGCTACACGTTTTCAACCGGCATGAATAGAATAAGGTCGACATCTAAATTAGACCTGGTGGAGATCATTTGGAGGACTTCCAGAGTTTGCTGCATAGGTTTAATTTAGACTAAATCAGCTTCAGTTAGTGACACAATAACAGGAACAAGTTCAATAAAATGGGAACAGAGTGCAGGTGATGAGGGACTGTAAGACTTGTAACGTTGCAGCATAGATTTTTCTCTTTTTTCAAACATCTTGATATCAGAAGGAGGTTTATATAATGATATGCATAATTAATTTGGTTTATGTAAAGATGGTGTTTGTGAAGTATGCATGTTGGTAAGCACATAGGGCATGGCAGCCAAGATGCCTCATTAGCACTGGATGCTAGTGAGGCTGGCCAGAGCAGTCCGGGGTGTAGCACATAAGTGTTTGTGCAAGTGATCCACGTACATGCATACATCAGCTGTGTGAAGCCGTACTGATGTAAAACTTACATCACTGTAAATTCACATCAGGTGCAGTGCATGGATCGGAATGCATATTTCTGTCCGGACCTGACCCGTGCCTGTGGCACCCGAACCCGACCTGGACCCCACGCAGAGTTTTCATAGTGTTCCCCCCCACCTTATTGTTAAACAAAGCAGACATTTGAGTGCTCCAGCTGTCTAGGCTAAACTCTGACCTGTAGTATTTGTCTGAACCAGACCCAGACCTGATTTCTAAATTTCTGTCTGAGCCTGACCCAAACCCTCAGGTCCTGTTGGGCTTTGTTGGAGTATCCACACCCTAATCAGGTGGCACCGGTGGATATCTGAATGTGTCTGTACATATGCGTGTGTATGGAAAGACTGATTACCTGTGGGATCACTGTCTCTGTGTTGCTTAGCAGGGGGCTCATCTGTATCCCACGGTGTGAGCTGGTTGATGGGTGTCTGTCCCCATCTCACCCCTGGTGCCAGCAGCAGTCCTTGGGTCTGGCTGTCTCCAGGAGACAGACCAGAGACCTACAGAGCAGTGACAAAAACATCACTGATCAGACCATCGTGTGATCAAACACAAAAAGCCAAGAGATGTTAAAATTAAAACCAAACCACTCTACTCCTCCTAATCCTTAGACACCACAGAGTGCAGCTTGTTTGTAAATGGCACTTAAGTTGACTTTAAAACTATGGTTTAAATCATTCTCTAGCATGAATGAAAAATACAACAAATCACAGCCATCTGAGCGGTTCTGTGAGGTCTTGAAGTGAGCCATAATGATGGAGCATGACGTATAATTAGTGAGTGAGTGAGTGCTGATTACAGCCTTTATACATCATAATAGGGACAAAGAAAAAAATTTGTTCATGGCCTCAAGAGTCTTTGGAGAAACACCAATATTTCTCTTTTTAATATACTAATAACAGTTAACTTTCTAGTGCAAAGTAAATTGAAATTAAAATCCTCCCCCCTGAGATTTTGTATATCTTAGTTTTTTAATTAAACATTATGTTCAGTCAAGTGAGATAATGGAATTCTGAACACAAACACAGTAAACAAAAATGAATAGTTTTGCAGGGATGGGAGAAAAGAAAAATGGAATTTCTAGAAAGAAACTGGAAAGCTAGGTGGCAATGTCTGTACGGGGGTAAATCCAATGCAACTTCCCTGATCCAAACTAAGAGATCTCTAAGCTTTCTCTAATATGTTGTTCTGGTAAGGGAGTGAGAGAAGTGTTATCAGACAAGCCCAGGCTGATGAAAACACTGGGTCAATCACCACTAGACCCCTGAGCAATATTCGCTTCTACCTATCTGCAACTTGGATGCTCGGTCTAACAAGCAGGCAGGACGAGGGCAGAGCCAAGCCCGATTCCCCTGCTCACCCCAGCCAGACTCCACAGTTAATAGAAAAGACCTGGTCACTGGGCCCCTCCTCTATCCCTCCTTCCATTGCTCAATTCCATTATCCTCCCTGACTGGGCATCCACTACATCAAGCATCCCATCATGCATTCTAACAGATGTGACGACAAAGTCCGACAGAGTGTGAGCTGACCCCACGACGACAAAATGCAAACCCAACAGTGAATTAACATACGACTTTACATACTGGATCGATCCCATTGCTGGAAGATGTGTCTCCGTTCTTAAAGTTGGATTTATCACAGCTTTATAGCCTTTAACACTGCGATATAACAAGGTACTGATGCTGCAAAACATCTGCTCTGTGACAAACAGCTTCACAATAACAAACAAGTTCAATGACCATCATTTACTTGATAAAGCCACACTGAAAGTTATCTGACAGTTTTTTAATTTTATTTATTTTTTTAGTGCTGGTGGCAAAAGGAAAAAATGCAGTGAAAGGAAATATCTCAAGGCAAAGCAGAAAACAGAGTGATGGAGCGAAGCTGGGTTCAGGAGGAGATAGGCTGTCAGGTCTTTTTGACCAGCTCAACCTGTCGACTCCAGACAAGAGAAAACTGAAATGGTTTACTCAGAGAATGCCCTAAGTGCTCAATTCCATCTGAAAGCCCTGGGGAATCTGAAATTCAGACCATTTTCAAGGTGAGGAGTTGCTTTCTATAGCCCACTTTTTGTTCTAATGAGCTTTTTGCCTCCTCCGTTCTGTAGGCTTTACTGTATTCTTCTCCAGCCACGCTATACTCTACCTTCTTATTATATTGCAGCATTTACTCTTATACTTTCCTTCACCTGCCTCATAATATTCTCTCATTAATACTCCCACCCATTTATAGAAAAAAAAAAA